GTCAAAAACACGTGAATCGTAAGTCTAACGAAGTACAAAGCATGTGAGGCAAATATCATTCATTAACAAAGTGAACACTCAGTTAGGCATACAATTTCCAATATAGTGAAATACATTAAGAGCGCAAAAGATGCTGACTGGCTGGTATGTAGACTAAATCGCCACAATGGGTTAAGGAAAATTCGCGATTCAGGTCTACATACCTTGATGAAATGCCATGATCTCCTATATATCTAAGACGGTGTCATGATACTACATACCTTGTGATTTCAGAATGGTTCAAATTATGGGTTCCATATAAAAGCAATCCGTTCTGACCACCGGGTACTTTTCATTTGAAATGAATTATGTAATTCAAGAAATAATTACGCCACAAGGAGTTTATCTAAAGGTGGCTTTTGAATTTTTGATGGATGGAGACATAAATACTTCATCACAATTGAGTAGTTGTTGATGCCTCTTTGTCATGCACGAAGAGTTCGATAATCTTCCCAACCACTTACTTCTCTTTTCAAAGAATGTAGTTTATCATGTCTTGAAAATATCACTGTTTATCCTCGTACAAAATATCAATTAACTGTTTTAGTTTAGGTGGAAAAATCTGCTGTGGTGTATTTCAAGTAGATGTTTTGAAAAAAAGCCTCTTTTGGAATAGTTTGGATGACAAAGTTATTCTCACTTCTCTAATTTCTATGCTCATGGGATGTGAAAGAAGAATATGCAATTCATTGTTCACTTGCATGCTAAAACGTAAGCACGTCTAGTTTATCATTGAATGTCTGATATTTATTTAATCTTTATTGAGAAATCTGACTTCTTATATATAAATGCATATGTATTTATATATACTGATAACAGTAGATGCAAAACGAATGACTACAGAAACCATTCAGTCAAATTTTCACTAGATATCAAGTGAGAATCGTTCAAATTTATCTTAATTCGATAGTGATTGTCAACAGGACTCCTAGAAATTGCCTTATTTGGGTAGCCAGGTCAATAAACAGTGCCATCGCATTTTTGGTTCAGTTGACAGGGGAAGCATCAACGTTTGTGCGTTGAGTGTAGAATATTCTGCATAAATTTTTGGTGATTTCGTTTTTGTTCGTCATTGTAGCGTTTGAGAATCAGTGAGAACAAACCTTAGCTTTCCTTCCAGCCACAGTGGACTTCGCAGTGGTAGTAATATCACACCAGGGCTAGTAGTATACCTTCATTAGTTCGTGTGGCGGCCTGCTTAAATCTTGGGCTACCAAAATTTCCATCCTACATATTGCATCTATTTCCTCGGATTTATTTTGTTTTAATCATTCAATTATGTATCCAAGTCGCATTACTTACTCTCGCGATTATTTAAAATGTCTTCAACCCGTTGATTTACGAGTATATAATAACGTTAAGAAAAAGCATCATGGAGGTTGGCAGAGATCATTAAAGTGTACTCCAATGCATCAGATGACTGTTCCTGTGATTATGAGCACAAATTGCAGGTCATTATCGAACAAGATTAACTACTTGCATTCTCTATTATACTCAAATGTATATTGTAATACTGGTGTAATCACTCTTCAAGAGACTTGGCTCCATGATTCATATGACGACAATTTAGTCTCCTTAAGTGGGTTCACAATCTACAGACAAGACCGATGCAGCTCGAAGAAGAAGAGAGGTGGTGGTGTTGCCACTTTTATTAATTCTCAGTGGTCTACTGCCAACAACGTCTGCTTCAAATTCTCAAATGACAATATTGACTGTATAACTGTAAAATGTCGACCTAAACACTTACCTAAGTACAGCTCCATTTTTGTCACAAATATCTATATCACACCTTGTTGCAGTCCCTCAGAACTATCTATCTTCGCTGATGAATTCACTATTTTTGCTGCTGCTTCGTTTGGTAACTCCTTATCTATAGTGACCGGCGACTTCAACTCCAGCGACTGCAGTTTTATTACATTGCTGGGCCATGCAAATGTTGTTAATTTCCCAACTCGACAAAATACTTCACTTGATTTAGTATTTATAAATGATTCTGGAATATACGAAGCTCGTAAAAGAGCCCCGCTCTTCAATTCTGATCATTGTATTGTACGAGTCTTACCCAAAATTTACGGAAAGTTACACAGTAAAGCCCTCTCAAACTTGTCTAAGAAAGTTGTTCACAGATGCTACTCAAATGAGAACGTACATCATCTTAGAAACATGCTCAGTGACACAAGATGGGATTTGTTTAATGATGATTCACTTGATGACAATATCTCTAATATTACATCCTATCTGAAATTCTGTTTTGAAATCTGTTGTCCAAAAGAAACACTATTCGTCAAATTTGACCGTTTCTCCTCGCCTCAACTTAAAAAGCTTCGTAGAGAGAAGGAAAAACTGTATAAGATGAAAGATAAAAGTGGTGTAAAAAGAACTAACTTCTTAATTAAGTCTGAAATGCAGAGGTTGAATGTAATATATAACCAGAAATTCATATCCTGCAAAAATCCTTCTAATATGTGGAAACTATTTAAGGAAATCACTGGTGGTAAGCAGATAAACAATATTCCATATTCTTTTGATGTATGTACTCTTAACAAATCTTTTATTTACTCTCCCTCAAATGCCATGCTTCCCAGCATCACTTGTGTTAATAATAGCCCCTTTCCAGGTTTTAACACAAATGATGTTCAAAAGTGCCTCAAGTCTCTAAACCCTTCCCAGAGCTTAGGTCCCGATTATGTACCTAGTATTATTTTTAAAAAATGTTCTGATATTCTGTGTCACCCTCTTACTGATCTATTTAACAAATCTTTTTCCGATAATATTGTGCCTGCCGTTTGGAAGGACATTAAAGTTGTACCCATACCTAAATCTTCTACTGGAGCATGTGTCAAATTTAGACCCATTGCTATTACGTCTCCTTTTTTGAAAACTATGGAGAAATTACTTTTACTTAGTCTTGAACCTTCGCTTAAATCCTTTAATGACCCTAAACAATTTGCCTATAAGCACAGTAGAAGCACTTTAGATGCAGCTGCCGTCTTATATCATAACATTGCTTCCAGTCTAGACAAGGGGGCTAAATTTGTTCGTTGCGCCTTCCTAGACTATACATCTGCTTTCGACTCGGTCCCTAGGGACATCTTATTAAATAAACTTGCTGCTAGTCAAACAGAATGTTGGGCTGTTAACTGGTTACATTCCTATTTCTCAGATAGAAAGCAGTACACCGTATATAAAGGGAAGTCTTCCACTTCATTGCCTACTGAAGCTGGTGTCCCTCAAGGCGCTGTTCTTTCTCCTTTTCTTTTTTCTTTCTTCTTGCATGACTTGCCTCACTCTGATGAAATAAACTTTGTGAAGTACGCTGATGATTTAACGGTTTCAATGGCTGTTAACTCCCAGCTAGATTGTACTAAAATAAATAGCTTTCTATCGGAAGTCAGCAAATGGTCTGAGTCTAACGGTCTTAAACTGAATCCTTCTAAGTGTCAAACTGTTGATTTCAGCTTAAGATGTAAACGACAGTTAAAAGAAGTCATCGATTCTCATGACAGTTGTAAAATTGACGACAATGATATAGGAATCAAATCAGAAATTAAGTATCTTGGACTCATTCTCTCTTCTGATCTCTCCTGGTCTTCCCATGTCTTAGCAATCTCCAGTAAAATATTCCGCCTGACATTTTACATTAAGAAGTTAAGACACTCGGGTATAACTCAACCCCTCATCCTACAGTTCGTAAACTCTTGCATCCTACCTATTCTTCTTTATTGCTCACCCTTATTCTTTCCTGGTTTGCTTAAAAAAGACTATGTCACAATTCGTAGAATACTGAAGACTGTCAGTAGAGTGAGTGGTGTCCCAGTGGACCACATAGTTAACGTCGTTGTCGATAGGCATTTGACTTCGTGCAATAAATTTGCTAAAGGGATTTTGTCTGACTTGGAGCATCCGCTTTACCCTCAGCTTTCACCTTGCATCTCCTCAGGTAGAACAAGGAGTAACTTCAGAAAACTGTATGCTCGCACGTCTAAGTATAAGAATTCTATGATACCATACTTGGCACGTATTTTATGTGATGAAAATAGTGTCAGGCAAGAATTAACTAACCTTTTTCATCTAGTAAATAAACAATTTCCTCCATCCATCCTTATATACCTTCAAGTTTTACTTTTATTACTTCTATTATATTTATGGTCCTGTTACTTCTCTGTTTTACTCTCATAATTGCAAACACCAACTTATCTCCATGACGGCTGTAATCTTTGTTTTTTCCTTCACCATATCATGTAAAAAGAACATTATATTCAATATTTTTAAACATGTTAGGATTTCTATACCACATTGACAATACTGTGTGGCACAAGCCAACGGCAATTTTCACTTGTATTCTTATTATTATTACCCTAGCTGTTATCATTATTATTGCTATTTCCATTTTATATGCTGCATGTTTTTGACACTACCTCTATTGTAAATGTGGAAAATTTTCTGTGTGATTAATTTTATTTATAATTTGAGGAAATTAGATGCAATATTGTGATTAATGCTGAAAATTCCATTCTGTATCACAAGTACTGTTTTTGGAATAAAGTAAATCATTATTATTATTACTTGATTACTTTTCACTAGTATGATAACTCTCTGTTCATATCGCCTTAATTTTCTAATTTTACTTTCACTATCGTCACTTCTTATCATTTCTCAAATTCGCATTCAGCTTATCCCATTCAACTGTTTATTTATTTTTGTAGTGTTCGTGCTGCCTCTCACGCCACTGAGTAAAATGAACTCTCTAAAACCCATTCTTTCGTTGAATATGAACACATAAACACTTCACTCAGCCAGCTTAACTCATTCATCCCACGTTCACACTTGACTACATATTTTATATATCTTTTAACTGTATTCAAAATTAACGGACTGTCATTACATCTTGTGCGTTAACCACACTACAACTTCCTAAATAATTTTAATTCACTTTTAATGATTACTGTATGTTATCAGCAAGGGATTTATGACAGCAGAGCTTGATGAAATTACAGATAACAGTTATTTGCTGTGATTATTATTTTCCTAAATAGTGTATGGAAATATTGAAGCCTCTGGAAATCTACCATTATGTAAGCTGATTGGGTGATCGCAGTATGAAGTACTTTTTAATCGTTTTAACTGTTCATTTCATAAAAAATGAAAATATATTGCAAACATGAGATCTGTTTTCTTTTAATACTGTCATCTTTCCATATAATATGTAAGTTGTGAATGTAAAGAAAGTGGTGCAAAAACTAATAATAATAATGTTTCTATTCATATTTGTAAGAAAATAAAATCCTTGAGAATCATAGGACTTGGGCAGAACAAAGGATATAAATTATCCTAAATTATGTCTGTATCCTCAGATGCGTTTGTTTGCAGTTAATTAAGCTCTCCACGAACTTTTAGACCTTCTCCATCCATATGCAATCTCTCTTTCGTAATTACGTAGTTCTAAACTGGTGATGAATGAGGTTTCTATGATTCCCAGTACTACAAACCATTCGCCCACTGCGCTCCATTTAAATTCTTCATATCCCTTCAACACGAATACAAAAGAAAACATGCTTGAGAAGCAAATAAAACGAAAACACGAAGAAATATATATATATATATATGTGGGCATGTATAAGGAACTTCGTTGTATTGCAGTAGTTAACAAGTTACTTCATGGTTTCAAAATGGTTAAGGTTGAGGTAAATAGTTGACCGGATTTCTAGACTGTGTCTGATACTCGCAAGTAGTATTGCTATTCAGAATAATATGATTTGTTTTCACTGAATCCAGTTTGTATCTGACAGAATCCTCCGTCTAGTGCATCTTTTTAATCTGCACGAAAGGGGGGCTTAATAGTTTGCTTGAGTGGACAATAGCCACGTCAGTCTTTACATTGACATAGGTTGCCTTTCTCTGACAGATTGACAGGGCCACGTTTCTTTCAATTATCAGGTACCTTTCTTTACTCCCAGATCTTCTGCAGTGGTAGAGTTAGCAGGTCAGCTGGGCTTTCTAGTTTTTTTTCAGTGTATTATTACATACATAAACATTCATTGGCTATTTCTGAATCATTCGTAATCTTGTTATCTCAGACCACTAAACTAACCTATACATATTGCTTGACTTACCGGTTCATGTGATTTTATATAGTAGAAGTCTTCCGCTTCCGGATATAGGAGACCAAGCTGATTGAAATATACGACTGTAATATGGAAACGTTAGACGATGTTGAAGTTCAGTTAGTCAAAGACACAATAAAATACTTCCTCATAGAAACATTTACTTATTTGAAATACCTACATAGTCAAACGATAAGATAATAATTCTAGAGGTGTATAATTCAGATTCGACTTGTGCTATAACAAATAGAATAATCAAAACTACGGAGTGAAACGGAATTAACACCTCAGTACTTCAAGCAACTTTTATTAGTACTCTGACTATTTAATTTACTCTCATTAACAAAAACGCCTCAGGTGAACTTAACGCTGAATCGCTAAAATTAATTATTTCATAACTTATTTACTCTTCAGCAAATAACACTGACTCTTAACAGTTTAATCTGCGGACTAGCACCAAGACACTTTGGAATCATCACTGAACCTTTGAGAAGCAATAGATTTTGTAAAGTAGTCAGATCACCAAAAGTGTACTAGTTATGATTCTCAGTTAGCAGAATCGCAATATCCTCCTGAAATGAGAATGTCCATGTTCCTGGTTAATAAGCATAGCTTGTTTGCATTGCTATAATTTTGCTTTGCAAAAAACATAATCTGATGACTGGTGAAATTCATTTATATAAATATTAAAATAAAAATACTCTCTTCGAGTGTGACTCACAAAAAAATGCACCAAGAATCATCTGAATCCAAACAATTATTCTAGCCAAGAAAAACCATTTCCATGGACGGAAAGAATATAAAACAAGCAGAGCACCCAGTGGAATCGAAATCAAGTGAGAACAGAAATTCCTTACAGCTAAGTCGTAATGTTTGTCATTATCAGTTTTTGCCTGTAAAACAAATGGTGTTATAGTGTTAATACATCATTCAAAAAATAAGCTGCAATATTTTGCGTATCATACACTGCATGACAATGAATGAAATATTAATGTATAAGTGATTGTTTAATAGAAAGCCTAAATGATCCTGAAATCATTGTGATAAGAGAGATCACCAAAAAGAGAACACTAGCTCCACACATATTATTATTATTATAATTAGCTGCATGGTGTAGCATGTGGTTCCTTCCAAAATTTATTTGAAAGTAACAGAATGACGAAATCATTGTCATTCGGGTAAATTTGTGTTTAACGAAAACTCTGTTCATTTAAGTAACACCAGCTCTGTAGTGATGTGTCAAGTGAATCATTTATGGAGTCCTAAGGAATAGGCCTAAACAGCTAAGACAATTTTCTTTTCGACGATTCATTTTCATGAGCTGTACAATCATAATTATATTATTCAAGTGTTGGTTTGTAGGGATTTGATTGGTTTCAGGATTTCATCATGAGCTGGCATTAGTTAGAGAACTATTGGAAAACCTGGGAGTACTGGACAGCTGTTTCGTCCTAGTTTGGGACTCTTCAGCAGTACGCACCCACCGGGACTCGAACTCAGGACCTTCCGGTTACAAGGCGAGCTCGTATACCATTAAGCCACTGGGACCTGATCCAATGGTCCTTGAATTCTAACTTCTGCCAATTCACGACATAGTGCGACCGCTAGCCAATGTCTTCGGCGAGTATTTGTATTATTATATTAAACAAATAAATCTTTAGATCAATTAGATACTAGTAAACTGTCCTCGAAAAATTTAATGCATAATGTTAGGTGTGGGAAGGGATGACCAATTGTAAGTTAGAAAAGAGGCAGAAGTTAGCATGACGTAACAAGTGTGAGACATTGAATAATCATTAGGCTCGTGTAGAATGGACAGGATCCAGTGGAAAGGCCTCTTTTCTAACCTACAATTAGCCATCCCTTCCCACATCTTACATTATGTGATACAGTTTTCAAGGACACAGTTTACCAGTATCTGATTGGCCTAAAGATTTCTATGTTCAATGTAATTACGTTTATACAGCCCATGAAAATGAATCATAGAAAAGAACGATTCAACATGGGAGTATTTCGTTCATTAAATCATATACCTGAAACACATCTAAAAGAAATTACAGTTGACCATCAATATAAAGCATTCAGAACAAAATGAGCACTGTGGCTTTCAATTTTGGCGCTGTGAAAGCTGCTTAACTTAGTGTTCAAGCTTCTCCGGTTGTTAGAATCTCCACTCTGTGGGAGAGTGATTCTGAGGAAATATCAGTTGTAGCGGTTATATGTGTGGTTACAAATGAACTGAAATAAAGAGTGATATAAGTTATTGTAACAAATGCACACATATTTTTAGCGATGGGAAATTTCAAAGTGCAGCAGTATTAATTCATCTGCTTATGATAAAACCCGTCTGAGGCTACTCTGCAGTTTCACACTTGAAGTTCAAAGATCCCCACACGAATTCCAAACAAGTTGACTTCTGAAAATTCGGTGATACATAACTGGAGGGAACAGCAAACCACAATTTATCATCATTATATTAAATTTAAACCTACGAATCTAATCAAAAATAAAATAAATCCGCTGAAAAATCACATAAAAATGATGGATAAAAACAATGTGATTTACAAAATATCGTGTGTTGACTCTCCGACTAAATGTATGGGTCAAATGTCCAGATCACTCAAAATAAGAGTGGACGAACATAAAGGCCTAAATAAAGGTTAACCAACAGGAACAGTGTGCGCCGGTGGCGTAGTGGTTAGGACGCTCGCCAACCATTCACATGATCCGGGGTTCGATCCCCGGCCAGAAATAGTACTGGTGAAGAGGAAAGGTTGGGCATGGGGCTATCAACCCACAAAATTAAACACTGCTATAGGAACTTCGGGTCACTAGCTTGAGGCCCTATGTTCAACTGGGGAACGTGAAGGAAATAAAACCGGAACACAATCTTACAAGAATTAGAAAAAATTTATCTATAGCTGCACATGCATTGGACAAAAACGACAATATTGATTAGAACAATGTGTGTATTCTAAAAACTAATATGAACAAATGGAAAGAGAGACTTATAACAGAATCTACATTCATTAAGGTCACATGTAAGGAAATATGTAACGAGAGTGACTCAGTACAACTGTCAAAAACCTGGAATATAATTCTGAATACAAAAACATGAACGAACAAAAAATGAACTATATATATATATGAGTACAAATCATAATTGTGTGAACAAAATAATTCCTACAGTTGCTCGAAATATTACCAATAACAAAACTTATCATTGTGTGTACACTATTGAAATATAATTATACTTTATTTAACATATCTCTAATCACCTTTTCCCACAATCAACCACATGCACAATCTTGACGACAAACAATTAGTTTACCGTTGGGATTTCACTCTTCTGCCCAGTGCACCATGTCATTCGACGGTCCTCTCAGTGTATGCCCCATCCATCTCCACTTCCTCTGCCATATTTGTTGAACGATAGGCTATTGATTAGCTTGGCGTTTGTCGCCAGAGTTTCTTGTTACTATCTCTTCTAACAATTTCTTGTTCAGTGTGAAGCCACGCAAAGTCTGACACCTCATCCAGCTCACCACAATTAGGAATATCCCCAGTGATAGCAGTGGGCAGCTGTGTCTTACTAATGTATTCACTTCAACGACTTCACTGAGTTTTGCGTTGTGAATCATCTAGTTCGTGTCGTTGTTTTGTAGCCAGCTGTCGAATGGGATTGATAAAGATTTGGTCACTGCACCCCATAGTGCTCAATTAGTTACCAAATCGCCTCGCTATCAATGCTGTTGAAGTCTTTTTCAAATTCGATGGAGTTGAGGTAGTTGAGGCAGAGAGTTGACTACTTTTCTATCTCGTGTTTTATGACGATGCTTAAAATTGCAATTTGATCAGCACATGGATTGTCTTTCCTGAGTCCAATTTTTCGGGTTGGCAGAGTTCTGCACACTGTGCATCTCTTATTCTCTCCAGGATGGCGCAACCTAGCATTTAACTTGGAGTGGACAGTAGCATGATTCCGTGCCATTTCTTGCAGAGGCGTAAGTTGCATTTCTTTGGTAGCTTGACAAATTAGCCTATCCTACAATCCGTACCTTTCCTTCTTTCCAACACTTTTACGATAATGGCTTGAGCATAACTGTAGTCTCTGTGTCCATTTTGCAGTGCTTTGGGGGGAATTCCATCTGATCCTGCTGCCTTTTCGGACTTCAGTAGCTTGACTGCATTCAGGCTTTCTGCTCTCGCTGGAGGATTAGTGTCCACTGGCAGGCAGTTCTGTGCGTGGTCATCGTGGTATTTCTGGGCGAGTTGCAGGTGATGGTCGATTCAAGAGTCCTTTGAAGTGACCAAGTCTTTCTTTTATCTAATCCGCCTCCTTAGTAATCAGGTCTTCTTGAACATCTATTGCTTTCGTTATCTGGGTTGATTTCTTCCCGGAGAGCAATCGACCTGGTTAATTGATTAATCATTCTGAGGTCTCCTCCATCTGCAGTCTATTCTCATTCAGTCATTGGTGTGCCATACAATTGACTTTTGCATTTCAAAGCACTTTTCTTGACTTCCCTGTTCAGTGCAGTGTACGCTGAAATCAGCTTCTCGTTATGCTGTCCATCTTCGCGTTGAGTCATCTTCTCTTTCACCAACACTCACTCCCCTCGTTCGCTCCCGAGTACCCATCGCGAGCCACTCATTACCTTGTCTCTTCTTCTTTCTTCCTAGAACAGTTGTACATGTTTCCCTGAACATTACATTCAGAGAGTTCCAGTCTTCTTCTATACAGATTTTCTCAGTGATGTCACATAATGTCCCTGACTTCCCTCTGATGGCTGCAATGACAGTATCATTTATAGGTTTGTCCTTCAGTTTCTGAGTGTTGAATTTGAATCGCGGTTTGTGTTGAGTTTTTGTTAGTGCTTTTAGTCTGACTCTGAAGGTTCCTTGAAATATATATGATGTTCTGAGCCTACATCTGCACTCCATCTGGACTTTGTGTTTGGCAGGCTGAGTCTTCACTTTCTTCAGATTGATATGAAATATACCTCGTTTCTGATGTATCCGTCAGGTAAAATCCACGTCACTCACCTTGTGAGGGTCCTATCGACCAATCATGAGTTCTCTTCCTGTACGGTCTGCTCCATGTTCGTCCTCCATTCGAATCGCCCATCAGGATTTTGATGTCACCATTAGGGGTTTTGTCCACTACTGTTTGCGTTTGTCTATAGAAATCTTCCTTCTTTTCTTTCTCTGAGATGTTTGTAGCACTGTGCGTAGTTTTGGATAATTGTCATCCCATATCTTTCCTTTCCAGTTGCATCTTGTTGTCATGATCCCGCGTAAGGTGACTGGTTCCCGCCTCATAATAGCATTCGTTGATGTTGTTTCTGTTGATGGTTTTGGTGATAATCTCGTGTGGGTTACCAGATTGTGATAGATTTCTCAGTCTTTAGTTGACAATGTGGATAGTCCACATCTATTCAGTTCGATGTCCCAATTCTTATTCTCGCGTTCATCGAAAGAAAACACATCAAGTACTCATTCAAATGCTTTCGATTTTGTTTGTTTCCATGAAAATGGACACTTGAGCACACTAGTTCACATTACTTACAAATTACTGATCCCATCAAAACACAACTTTTATCCATATGTGAACATTATCAAAATATTAAACTTGGTCACAGTGGAAGTAAGTAATTGCATATAATCTACAAACTAATATGGAATTATCAAAATACAATATCATATTTTACTATTTTCTTTGTGCATATAGTGAGCTCCACTTACATCAATAATAGCCAGTCCTATGATGGATATGCTTGATATTGCAAACCCCATTAGTATGATGATGCATAGGAGTCCACTGACCATTGACCAAGCATTTCTCTCCACAAGTCTTCTTCTCGTCATCAAGTACCAAAACCATTGACTTATAATATCTAAAGTGAAAATGTATTCTATTTTTATGAGCAAATAATTATCATCATTTAAATATTAAGAACCTACGAAAGATAAATTATCATTTGTCGGTGATTATTTGGTTAGACGGATGTCTCCGAAGGGTTAACTCAGTATGAGGACGTTCTGGAGACAGACACAATGAATAGTGAGAAAGTAATGGTAGTCACACTAAAGGTTTAAGATGTTAGTTAGTAAATATAAGTATACCGGATGAAATGTGTGGAATATGTCATGGAATAGTAATTCTCTAATCTCAATTACTCGGAGAACAAGAGTGAATATCGATAAAGACCGCCAACCTAGACCAGTGCACCTTGAACTGCAAATGCTTTTCGATTAGTACGCTACGTTTGCTTAGTTGCATAAAACTCTCATTTCTTTGGTGTTTGTTGCAAGGAAGTTGTGGAATTGATTGTAATTATCTGACTTTCGAACCCTGAATTTGTGGATAAAATCTTGTTGACTGATAATACCTATCACTATTTGTTTGGCGTTTTGTGACTGTTCAACACTATCTAATATCCATAATTGTATATATTGTTGTACTTACCTAACCAGTGAGAACCAAGTCAGTGAGTCTATGGTTTTGATATCACTTTTGTTAACTGTTTTTTGACAGTGATATCACTGCTAGAGTTTATTTTTACTGGTTTTGTCACTGCCATTCGTGTTGAATTCTTTAAATTTCTTTTTGCTGGTTTTGTTCCGATTCCTTTATTCCTTGTTTTCTTAATGCTTAAGGGAGCAACACAAAATGTAGCTCCCCTGTATCCTATACATTCATGTAACGAACCTCTTCTCAGGCGTGAGGCTAGCAACGATAGAGTCGTTGATTTCACCCGGTCACTCATAGGACAACCACGAACACACTGAGGGAGTGGCTGTCTTGACGTCACTAACAGCAACAAAGACCCTGATGCAATGGGAGGCGATTTCGCCCAGGAGAATGACCTCCAGGTCCACTTCCAGAGGAAGGAATGTGACAGCTATACAACTTAGATCTCGAAAAGAAAGAAGAGTTTAACAGACTACTACAGGCAACAATTGACAATGCTTCGGTCTGTGACATTAAAATGCTAATGGGAGACATGAACGCCAAACTGAGACCATACACCACGGAAAGAGAACTCATCATGGGTAGAGAAGCTCTCAGAGGAATGAATGAAAATGGAGAACTCTTCGCTGACTTCTGCGCCTTCAATGAACTAGTGATTGGTTGCAGCATATACAAGAATAAGGATATCCACAAGGTTACATGGATGTCACCAGACGGGCAAACCAAAAACCAAATTGTCTTCATGTCAATACTACTCAAGGAAGTGGAGACGCAGCTTACTGGACACAAAAGTAAGAAGAGGAGCAGACGTTGTCTCAGACCACTATCTCCTACAAGGAACACTCAAAATCGAGTTAAAAGCTTCCAAAGAAACAGGAGCTGCAGATAGACCACAAGTCATTTCAACACTCAAAACCTGAAGGATCAGGATACAAAAGATATCTTCAATGCAATCATAAAGAAAAATCCGGAGACACAAATCAACACTAGCGAAGAGACCAGAGTCAAAAAGCACTGGGACTGCATGAAAGCTGCACGGAAGTTATAGGCAGAAAGAAGAGACAGGACAAACAGTGGCTCACTACGGACACATGGAAACTAATAGAAGAGAGAAGGATGGTGAAACCAACTGCCAAAAAAGGGACTTAATTCACTGCGAGACCGGCGCACCATTATGCTCACGTCCATCCCAAGTAAAATACTAATCCGCATTATCTTGGTGAGTATCAAACAAGCCCTGGATGAAAAACTTCATCGGAACAGGCTGGATTCAGGAGAAACAATTCATGCATCAATCAAATCGACACACTAGGGATCACCATTGAACAGAGCTTGAAATAGCAGTCAACTATCCACCTTACTCAACTTCATTGACTTTGAGAAGGCCTTCGACAACGTCGATCGAGAGGTGACTTGGCAACTGCTTTGCTACTATGAGGTGCCGCCAACAATTATACACCTCATCCAACAGTTGTACGATAATGCTGCGCGCCGAGTGTTTCGCAATGGGAAACTGACGGAATCCTTCCAAGTGAAGACAGGAGTAGGACAAGGCTAGCTGTCTACTATCTCCAATGATTTCCCGGATTTCGATAGACTGGATTATGCGACAGACAGCGGGACGGGTAACGAGGAAACAGGCATAAAATGGACCCACAAAAAACACTTAGAGGATCTGGACTTCGCCGATGATATACATCTGATTTCCCACAAACTGGAAGATATGCAAGTGGAAAGCAACAAATTGGCAGAAGAAGTATCGAAGATAGGACCTCAGGCGAACATGATGAAAATAGAGGTGATGAAGATTCCTGGTCAACAGCGGCAGCAACAACAACAACAGTCAACAATCAGCCACCATACATGAGAGAAAACTAAATGGAGCAACCTCCCTTACCTACCTACCTGGGAAGCATCGCTTCAACTACAGGCGGACGGAACTGGAGAGGATATCAAATGAAGGATCAGAGAAGCAAGGCGAGCTTTCATTTCTCTTAAGGTGAACAGCACTCAGTATGAAAAAAGATCCGGATTTTCAACTCCAATGTGAACTCAGTGCTACTTTATAGATCATGACTTGGCGCATCATGAAAGGCACTTCAAACTACTTACGGACCTGCATCAACAGCTGTCTTTCCTCAATACTCAAGATCAGATGGTCAGTCAGGAAAGATCAGCAACAGGGACCTCACACAGTGAACTAACCAGGAACTGATTGTACAAAAAATAAGCAGGAAGAATTGGAGGTGGATTGGCCATACTCTGAGAAAACCATTGGATGACATCTCACGCCAGGCAATCGCTCGAGTGAGTCTCGAATGGGAAGCGGCGAGTTAGTCGTCATTTCGAGGGTGACATGAAGGAGGTCATGTGAAGAGGAGATGAGAGTATGTGAGCAGATATGGAACCAGGTGAAGAAGTTAGGAGAAAACTGAACGCAATGGAGACTTGCGGCTGAAGCCCTATGTTCCTCTAGGAACTAAAGGAAACATTATTAATAATGAGCTGCAAAAGCTATTATATTATTATTATTGTTCCCTTGGGTTCCTAGTGGAGCATAGGGCTTCAACTGCACGTCTCCACTTGCTTCTGTCTTCTGCTGTAATTTTCACCTGCATCCATGTTTGTCCACACTGTTTCAGCTCCTCTTCACACGATCTCCTCCATGTCACCCTTGCACTGACGTCCAACTCGCCGCTTGCTTCCCTTTCGGTCTGGTTCAACTCGAGCGAAGGCCGCACGCGCGATATTACCCAACGGCCTCCTCAGCGAGTGTCCAATCCATCTTCACTTTATCCTGCCTATTTGTTGGGCGATTGGTTGTTGTTTTCTTTGTTCCCATAGTTTGGTTGGTTGTTTGTGATTCTTTCCGGCCCGGCCATCTGATCTTCAGTATAGAGCGAAGACAGTTGCTGGTTGATAAAGGTCTGCAAAAGATATTGACGAAAAATATTTGAGATTGATGAAACCAGTTGAGTTACCACATGCAGCTATCTAAATAACCGTCATCTCTACTAATATATCCTCTAAGAGAGTGTTCATTGAAACGCTGATCCCAATAGAAGATGCTTTCACAATCTCGTTTCTCACTCATCTTTTCCTTTCATCTGTATGTTTACTAATAAGTGGCAAAACAGTCAAGTATGAGTTAATTTGCAAATAAATCAGCTAATCAGTGTTGACGTGTTTAAGTAATAATCAATATGAGACACAATATTTGTACATCACTGTGAGTAGAGTTGTTTAACTTGTTATCAAGTAGTTTACATTTGTTTATGCAAAACACTTTCCATCCAGCTGAAAAGATTCCTTTCAGTGATGAGAATTGTGAACTAATTTATCTAGGCCAGTTGATATATTTTTACCAAAGAATTTCTCTTGATAAATTCACCTTAAACACAATGTTGCCAACATTAATGTAAACCACATAATTAGAAGATAATATTTTTCTTCTAGGATTAAGTTTGCTTCTGAGGTTAGGTAGATAGGTATGTGTCCAACTCAATTATCAATTACATAAATAGCAAACACAATTATTGAATTTAATTACTTCTTAGAATATTAGAGCAACGCAGCCTTCGATGAATTAGTGAATAACAGGAATACGTGTATATGGCCGAGAGCCACATTGACAAAATTTATTGAAGAATGCCAAATTAACTGGAGATAAATATAATATCATAAAATATCTATCTATCTATCTATCTATCTATCTATCTATCTATCTATCTATCTATCTATCTATCTATCTATCTATCTATCTATCTATCTATCTATCTATCTATCTATCTATCTATCTATCTATCTATCTATCTATCTATCTATCTATCTATCTATCTATCTATCTATCTATCTATCTATCTATCTATCTATCTATCTATCTATCTATCTATCTATCTATCTATCTATCTATCTATCTATCTATCTATCTATCTATCTATCTATCTATCTATCTATCTATCTATCTATCTATCTATCTATCTATCTATCTATCTATCTATCTATCTATCTATCTATCTATCTATCTATCTATCTATCTATCTATCTATCTATCTATCTATCTATCTATCTATCTATCTATCTATCTATCTATCTATCTATCTATCTATCTATCTATCTATCTATCTATCTATCTATTTATCTAACTATCTATCTATCTATCTATCTATCTATCTATCTATCTATCTATCTATCTATCTATCTATCTATCTATCTATCTATCTATCTATCTATCTATCTATCTATCTATCTATCTATCTATCTATCTATCTATCTATCTATCTATCTATCTATCTATCTATCTATCTATCTATCTATCTATCTATCTATCTATCTATCTATCTATCTATCTATCTATCTATCTATCTATCTATCTATCTATCTATCTATCTATCTATCTATCTATCTATCTATCTATCTATCTATCTATCTATCTATCTATCTATCTATCTATCTATCTATCTATCTATCTATCTATCTATCTATCTATCTATCTATCTATCTATCTATCTATCTATCTATCTATCTATCTATCTATCTATCTATCTATCTATCTATCTATCTATCTATCTATCTATCTATCTATCTATCTATCTATCTATCTATCTATCTATCTATCTATCTATCTATCTATCTATCTATCAAGTATCTATCTATGTTTTTTTCTGTCACTCATCAATATATCGATCCATCTGTGAATTTCGAATTTCAAATTTTGTACCACGTTTATTTTCAAGATGTATATTCTACATTAAATTTTAATGTGCTTACTTAGGACTGCAAATACTCCTGATGAATATATAAAAATATATTTTTCCGGTGGGTGTATACCAAGTGCGCTGAATAAAAGAAAGTGGGCATTTTAGTGTAAAGAATTAGGTTAAAGCATCTTATTACCTGTGAAACATACCTTATTCTAATGTATTCTGCACCCAATATTTGTTATTTTTGCATATGCATATATACATGTTACATAGAAGGAAAAGACTGTACTGGCTATTTGTAACTTTCATAAAGACGTTTTTAAACAAGTCAACAGAAATGCCTAAATTCAAAGTGACCAAATCAAATGTGAGTGCAGAGAAACGAGATGAATACTTGAGATTGTGAGCCAGTAGTCCATTCATCATCACTGACACACAATGATGCGAGTCGAAATTTCAGATGCGATGTCATTCTTCTTAAGCTAACCATTACGGTTTATTGGTGTATATTAGACGCAAAGACATTTCGGATCACTTCCATCTGACCGATCCTAAAGGATAATATCTCATTTCCATTTGTACAACCAATGTATGACATACATTAGAAAATACTTATTCTTTTCCAGCCTTAGAATGAAATGCATTGGTTTAGTTGTGAACCACATGCGCGGTTTGCATCCATTCTACCTCTGTATCACCGACGCGCCTGTAAAAGTATAGAAAACGATATTTAGATTGAAGTCAATTCTTCTGGAAAATCACAGCTAAGAGGGTTATATATGTGCGTCGGTGGCACAGTGGTTAGGACTCTCGCCGACCATGCACATGGTCCGGGGTTCGAGCCCACGCCGAGGCACACTTGATATCTATGGTCGGCCTGCGAATTTTGGGCTACCGATATCCACGCTGAAAATTCCATACTTGTACCAAAAATACGGTGTGGAATCAAGCTGTAATCAAAAAATAAAAAAAAATAAAATAAAGTTACCAGAACAGTTACAATCTTAGCTGCATATCTGCAATGTGAATCTAGTAGCAATGTCAAGCACTCATTCTGAAACAATATACATTGCTTATAATAATCCCAGCGTGTTTATTACAAATCATGTTTTGATTTTTTCATAAACTCACTGTGATTTTTCTTAGTAATTCATTATGATTCAATCTGACTCGGCACTCAACCTATTCCAGGAAATTTGTATTAATTACGGTCTAGAAACTTAGATATTTTGAAGGCTGACTGTGTGAATTTTAAAGCAATTTCATTTCAAAATGTCCAGTTTCCCTTTCTGTCATGTTTGAATGAATGATGGATAGTTTTTTAGTATGAATGCCAATTTAGAAATCCAAGCAAAATCTATTATCACCCTAAGTAAATCTACCGATCATCAGTATTCCTTTATTCCCTCACGTTCCTAGTTGAACAAATGGCTTCAGGCTAGAGGCTTGAAGTTTCCGTCGCAATGGTGTTCTCCTGCTTTATAACCAACGAGCTTGTAAAAGTATTGAAAATGGTTTATAGATTGAAGTCAATTCTTCTGAAAAATCACAGCTAAGAGGGTCACATGAGTTACCAGAACAGTTACAATCTGAGTTGCATTTATAAATATAATTTGTACTCACCTCACGTATGGAACAACTGGTTGTATACGATCATGATAAATTGCGATGATATACCTGAAATAAAGATGGACAGATAAATATCTTGCAAATACCAACTTAATACTCTTGACAATTACCTCTAGATAGTAAGAAGTATATTACCTTCAAGGTGTTGTTTGAAAATGTTTTGTGATTTCGCGGTGTGATGCCTTTCGATTGGAAATAAATGTCATCGACTTGGGTTGACATTTTCAATCGCTCAGTAATCAGTTTATATAGCATGAAATCACCTTACATATTACACAATGATACTTCCAAAATGTATCTTCACTATGTACTACCTTTCCTCATTATCCAACTATTCCTGTGGAAATTCCTCATCGGTTTGGAATACTACTGTAGAACACCTAATCCTTATATATTAGAAAGTAAATTCACTTATGTGTTGATTTATTGTTTGCACTAATTTCATTATTTCTACTTTGATTTATCGCATTTCAGCTTATGATATGCAAATATTTATCAGTAGAATAAAAGATGATTCAACTTAATTTAGTTTGGCATTCAAACTACTCATATACAGAAACCATTCGTTGAATTGATTCATGCTATTTCTATTTCCCTTTGTGATGTCGGTGACTTACATTTGGATACTGTTACGGAAAATGAAGCATACTGAATTAATGAGTGTTTCTCTTTACGAAAAATTTAAAAATGAAACCGCTTGATGATTACACAGAGAAAATAGAAATAAGCGAAAATTAGTAGAACTAAAAATTCATTTGTACTCACATGATTGGGCACAAAACTGAAGCATGAATGACAGCGAAAAGTGGTATGCGAGATGGATAAAATTTAGGCCACTCCATTGGGAAAAGCTGTTGTATAATAAACTACTGTATATTTCTACAAACGATAAAGCAAAAGAAGAGAAACAAACACACACACATTTAATAATGTTAATTAACATTGCTGGTGTTATAACGGCTTATTAGTCCGTTATCAGATTTCAGAAATCTAATTCAATACTGATGCCGGATATAAATAAACCTTATGGGACGAAAATTATTGCAACAGGGTAAAAAGAGCTTCTGTCTTTCAGGGATGCTTCAGCTTTTGTGGAGAATTTGGCGCTTCAGAAGAGTCAGTTGTGACCTAGATTAGTCTAGCTGCTATTAAGAAATGTTTAGTGGCATACAAAACCTAGCACTTGAACAGCAATGTGGATAGACCAGTGTCTTACTTTCATCAAGTCATTACCAACAAACAGTAATTTGAAACACAGGTTCTTATGTTACTTCTAATACCACTCGTACATTAATACTATGAAGCAAACACCTTACTCACAGGAAGTGATTGCAAACTGCAAGACTTCATTTCGAGTGAAGCGGATGATTCCACAAACACAAACAAGTAAATATTACTCACAATCAAACTTTTCATATGCACTACACACCATATGTGGTTATCTCAGAAATCTTATCAAAAATTCAATTATTAAAGATTGGTTGAGCTATGAATGCCCTTTGATCCACTATCAATGTTAAACGATAGTAGAATGACTGAATACGTTATAATTTTACTTGAGATTTTTTGAACAATATATTCAACGTGCTGACAAGACTTTTGAGGCTGATAGCTATCGGTGTATGTTTCAAATGCTCGGTTGTGTCAATGGAATTTCAGATACATCATATGAATAACAGTTCAGCTACTTATAGTAAACACTATTAGTAATGACAGTTTGAAATGAGTGAATAAGGGACAAAATTGATTAGTTCGCATACAACAGAATTCATTTGACGTTGATTTTGAATAATCCGACTACAGTTAATATTTTCCTGGCATTTCAAATAATCATTGACTGGTGGAGATTTCATCTCGTTGGTGTAAGTCAGCATAATTTTGGAATAAATTCTGGCCAAAATATTCAGTTCATTTAGCCGTATACATCTGGCGTGTTATTTAAAATTATCACATTTGACAGTGGATTCGTAACACTGCAGACATTCAGACAACACTTTTGTGATCACACCGCGCTCTTTAACTCCTAATATGTCCGTCTTAAGCCAGGCATGAAGAAGAATGATGAATTTCTCACGCATGTTCATATCATTTACCATCTGACGATTTGAGTTCAAATCTTTGACAGACGATCAAATAATTTCAATGATAATCATCTGTAGTCTAGTTTCCCCTATATTTGTTAGAATCAGAATGACGTTTCCTAGTAGCCACTAGAAACACCTGACCATGACACTGAATAACATGCCTGCTGAGCATCAAGGACTCACACCCCGACAGCACGATACACATTGGTACAATCCGGATGCTAGATACGAGAACAAACTACGATGGCGAATGCCTTCCGATAAAAAGACAACACTCAGTGGTATCCTACTATATATACACTAGATGCATTAATAATACAAGGCGAAAAATTCCTTGGGGATTAATGTCAGCAAAGTATCACCATAGTGAATTCGAGCAGCCAGGCGCAGGAAACAGAATATAGGCTTCCACTTTGAGCGCATCTCATTCCGAAAGGGGAAGCTGATATGGAGAGCTACATTCAAATCAATACATTACTACTACTATTGTGTAATAGTCGACATGATGGTGATTTATTATCAAGCGTATAGATTAAGAAAAATGTGACAGTTTATTATGAACAGAAATGGTGTTTATTTCTGTCACAATCTGATTTCGTTTAGTTAATAATATAACGTGAAAAGGAATGTATCATGAACATGGTACAGCATAGAAAATTTTGAGATTTTTGGTTGAAGCAGCTTTATGACTCATTCAATAGTACGAAGTAAACATCGTTTAGTACTGTTAAACAACATAAGGAACTACTACGTCTGGTCACATTCTTAAATGAGAGAGATACAATTCTCAGATTTCAAATATCAGGATGTATATTAATCAAAGCATCGAATCATACTAACGGACACGATTTTCAGTTATCAATATAATTCATGTATTTTCGGCTCACCTGGTCACTGACAGTCACAGTTCAACAGTCTAAATGATAAATATATTCCACGTTTGTTAGTGAACCGACCGTATACACTTAGTCTAGAACTACAACAAAAGCGTTCCTTTATACAACGGTGTAAAGATTTTAGGCCAATTATAAATAAATAATACTCAGTATTCAGCTGTATCACACAGAGCATACTAAGGCATTCATTGATCAATAATTTATTATCACAAATGAATCACAAAAGTTGACCAATAAAATCAGTATTCAACAGAAAATGCACAAGTTAACCTACATTTGCCTTTCCGCAGTGACATGCAATACGAAACAGGTTTTGTGAGTGAAGTTAGCTAATGAATGCTTTCTTGTCTTTGGCTTTGTTAGTTACATTAAAAACCATGAGGAGAGAGTTTGAGAAGTTTTCTGTGAATCAAGTAATCTTCAGAAACTTACTACTCACAGTAGTTAAAAAGGCCCTGTTGACTAGTCCAGAGGTGAATTGAAATAGTTGACGCGTCAGTTTCCAGGCTTCTTCTGTGTGATATCACCAGATTACTGAGTTAACCGCATGATCAGTCAAGGTGCCACAGACTGAATGAATGCTTGTTCTGTTGGTAAAAGTTAAAACTGGGATAAAATTTATTTGAACTCTTACACTATAACTTCTTGCTTACCTGCATTTGAAATGAAAATCTGTTCAGTGTTTAAGACTTTCCTTCTTCTCTGATCAGATAAATGTTCACTTCTCTTATTCTATGTACGAAGATGGAAATGTGCATATTAGGCGTGTTTGCTTTATGGATCACACAGGGATTCACCATATTCGAATGTATAGCAGAATTTAACACTGGACAGAATGAGTTTGAGCTATCGCACTACTCAGTTGAACGCTTATTAAAAATGAACGAGGTGAAGTGGTATTAAATCACACTAACAATTGGAAAGCATTTGTGACTTTGAAAAATGAAAAACCTGAACTTGGTGTTCGAAAACATTTCATCAAGCCTCTTTCCCCACCATGGGTTAAGTATCTGTTATATTTTTTGACTGGTTGCACAGTAAACTCTGACATCCTTTTACCTTTCGATTTTACGTGGTCCACTTTCATCGATCAACTGACTTCAGACAGATGTTCTCCAAGATGAAAATCCCAGAAAGGCTGAAGGAGAGCAAGACTATTCCCATCAGTGAATTTATGAGGAAAATTCAATGAAAGCTTTTGCAAAGGCATCTTTGATAGTCACATCCTCTCAACACAATGAAATGGTATTATTTACTGGATAACGTTTCGAATTCAATTTATTGTTCACAATCGTATCAATTGTAATCACACGACTTCGAAACTTCAGTTTCATAGTTTTCTTCGTTATCTCCTACTTGTCGTAGGGTGAGTAGAACTTTCCAGATATCTATGATAGGTGTTGAATCATTCCTATTACACGTATTTACAGTTGACTCGATAAACAAAGCTTCCATTATCAGTCTCTTTCTCCACTCTGTTACATTAGATTTCAAATAAGTTATCTTATCCTACGCTATTGTATAGTTGCATGTAATTGCATGTATTGAGTGCCATAGCTTAACTATTCTCCAAATTTCTCGTTTTATTAGGGTCAACTAATCTAGATTTTACTAGGTTTTTATGCTCGGCTAGTCTGACTTCCTCCTTTCTACTGTTCTGACCTGTGTATTTGACCCAACAATCATTCCAGAAGGGAATTAAATAAACTAAATTGCTTAATCTAATAGGCTACACAGCATTGATACTTTAACCGACAAAGCTTGTTTCTAATTGAGTTTGTAGGTCTGAATGCCATTTTTATTCCTGCATTGTCAAGATTTCTCTGTAGGATTTCCTTTATTGTATGGAAGTACTACTGATGATTCAAACTCCCTATAGCACGTACTGTCATTATCCTCTGCATGTTTGACATACATGTGGTCATTAAAATGTATATTGTTATCACTGTTCCCACCATATTTATTAATTTTATTTTTACATTTCCTACATAATTATTGATTAATTTATCAGGGTAATTATTAGGCTTCTCTCATATGCCTCATCTCTTATTTTAGATTCTGGAGCTGGAGCGAATTACCGCGAACGGAGCTTCTATCAAGTAACTGATACCATTACTCAACTTGTGGCCCCACTTGGGGTTCACTTGTGTGGGTGCATTGGGACGTCAAAACAGGCGTTGATTTCAAACTGCACAACGCACTTTCATTGACCTAGGACGTCTGCGAATTTCGCCCGAGGGCAAATGACCACTCGGTATGCTTATGCCTGCGTCCCACTTCTGACAACTATGGTTAACATTACTGCCAATCCCTTACTCACTTAAAATGACCGTCGTTACACCCGGACTCTGCTGCATGAGTTCAGCGAAGTTTGATGGTGGCCACGTTACTGGTCAAATTGGTGTTGTCCAACATGAGGTCAAGACAGGGAATAACCTGCCATCTAGGATGTGACCTCAACGGGCACTCATTCATTGTGAACAACCATTGGGCACGATGATTGCCGAAATGTCACTATATTATTTGAATTAAAAATCACGCCACTTGGCCTATCGAATGTCCTCGCTACGTTTGGTGGCTCATACAGACAATAATCGCAGCTTTGTCCCTAAACAGTGCCTCACCCATCTGGATGACATCATCATGTTCGAGCAGTGGTTTGAATACGAACACGTCAACCTCAGAGTGTTGTTTCCCCTTTTGCGCGATAGTAGCCTTGCACTGAAAGCCCTTATATGTCACATCTCGCCGGTATCTTGAACACTCCCCAGTCATGAGATTACTACACAAGGAGTAAGCATAAATAAAATCGAGGTGTGAGTGACCCTGAACTGACCCACCTCTAAATCGACTGCAGATGTA